CTCTCTTGATAAAATTAAGAAAATAAAAGAATGCCCAGCACCTCCACTATTTACCATAGTGCTGCAATATTCGACAAGAGAAAGGAGTTCTAACCAAGAATTAGAAAGGAAGAGGTAAGGGGCACCTGGATGGCTCAGTAGTTAAGCGTCTGCCTTTGGCTCAGGTCATGGTCCCAGGGTCCTGGGATTGAGCCCCGCATCGGGCTCCCTGCTCAGCAGGAAGCCTGCTTCTCCCTCTGCTTGTTGCTTCCCCTACTTGTGCTCTCTCTGTCAAATAAATAAATAAGATCTTAAGAAAAAAAAAAAAGGAAGAGGTAATAATATCTCTCTTTGTAGATATTATCATTATACACCTGGAATACTCAAAGACTAAATTAAAACTACTGTAAATAATGAGATAATTTAGTATATAGCAGATTATAAAATCGACATACAGGAAACAGTAATAGGCATTTTATACACACACGAGTACAGATACAACCCTTCAGGCAACGTCCCGTTAAAGATGACAAAAAGGAGAGACACCCTTACAATAATAAACAAAAAGCCAGAGAATAGCTTTCAACAAGAATGGGCCAAACCTTTATGATTAAAACTGTAAAGCATTCTGAAAGACACAATGTAGACTTAAATAAAAAGCAAGACAATGTTCTCGGACAGGATGACTGTGCATCGTAAACATGCCCAAGGTGCAGAAAGGACAGGTTGATGGGGGGGGGGGGACTCCAGGATGGATGAGAGGCTGACAACACCAGAGCCCACAGATCACTCTCACCGCCACTCAGAGTCGGGTAACCTGACGTGGGTGCTTCCCGATCCGATGCCCTGAGCAGTATATACGGCCCCACCTATGGAAGATTTGTGCCCAAAGAATTAAAGCAGAGTCTAATCAATTTAATGGCAGGTTTACAGGAAATAGGAAGAGGAGAAGCATAGAAAGGATACTCTGGGAGGCCATGAACAAAATCCAAAAGGTCTACAGGACAATCTACCTGCATAGATTACAAGAGACCTGAGACACGTCACCACCCGCTGTCTGTGGAAAGACACTGGAGATCAGTGAGGACATCTGAAAACAGACTGGGTACGAGAGGGCATTAAGGAATTACAGTTAATTTTGTCAGGTGTGATGGCATGGTGGCTATCAGGAATGAAAGTCTCGTCTGTAATACGTAAGAAAATGCTTGTGGGTGAGATTCTCAAGTACTTAAAATACTTCAGCAAAACAAACAAAATGGATCCCCATTCTGTATGGGGGGAAAGGAAGCAGGATGGGCATCTGCGGCTGACACCAACAGACGTTTGTGCCCTGGGTTCATCCGTTAGCTTCAGGAATGTTGTTCCTTTGACTGCACCCCCTCTCCTCCCCCATTCTGCCTCATCAGTTTGTCCCCTTCTGTGCACATACCCAGGCTCGTTACTCAACCCAGGAAGCCAGGCTTCTCCGAGCCCCCCTAACAAAGCTCAGAGCGAGGTCATCCCTCTTACCTCCCCTCCTCTTGGCGCCCACCTGTCACAGCACTGGAACTTTCCCTGATGACATCACCGTCCATCTCCAGGTGACCAGATCCCAACGTGGGTCACTCACTCCTCTTTACTCAGCCCCCAACAGCATGTGTTCCTCGGTCCCTTTCTTAAAACACATTCTTCTCTTGCTTCCAAAGACACCACCACCTCTGCCTAAGTGACCTCAGTCAGGCCCTGGCTTTAATGATCATGTGTATTTTTTTAATGCCTCCTACATTTATCGTTTCAGCCTGGACCTGTGTTCTGGACCCCTGTTCAATCAACAGCCCATCAACACGCCGGAATCAGAGGCCTCTGGAACTCAACACCACCCTAAACCCGAACTCTGCTACTTCCCCCTTTGCCCAAGTCTCGTCCCCAACTCAAGTGGCGGCATCACCATCCACCCAGCTGTTTCAGCCGAAGCCCAAAGTCACTCTTGCCATGGAACACGGAGATTCTGCATTGTATTTACAGTTAATTCGTTAGGGCCACTTACTCTTATAAAATGGCCTTTTAATGAGCAGAAATACTATTGCCGTTTCTAATTTCCACAGCAAATTAAATGTGCACCGCGTGCCATTTCCTCTCCCTGGGACTCTCTTCCCTGCTTTAAGAATCTAGCTCTCTCTCATTTTCAAGGTCCAATATCAGAGGCCACCTCCAGAGATGATTCGGAATTTCTTCCCCATCCGACCTAACTCACCAGCAGATTACCCTGTTGTATCTCCTCTGTAGGACTGTGCACCCCAAGCTGCTCGTTGGTCTTTTTCCAAAACAAGAGCTGCGTGAGAGCAGGGCCTGGGTTCTGGTCACTGCTGTATCTGGAGCCCCCACCAGAGTTCACAGTGCCGGTCTGACGTTTCCCAAACAAGCATTTGGAACAAGAACAGTCTGTCTGCTTGGGCTGCTGTAACAAAATACCAGACATTGGGTGGCTTAAACAACACACATTTATTTCTCAAGGTTCTAGAGGCTGGGAAGTCCAACATCAAGGTGCCGGTAGACTGGGCGTCTAGTGAGGACCTTCTTCCTGGCCTGTAGACAGCTGTCTTCTGTGTCCTCACTTGGTCTTGCCTTTCTGCATCTTCCTCTTATCAGGGTGCTAATCCCATCATGGGGTCCCACCCTCATGACCCCAGCTAACTGTAACCACTTCCCAAAGGCTCCACCCGGAGCCTGGAGGTTAGGGCATCAACATATGAATGTGGGGGGACACAGTCGGCCCAAAACACGAACGTTCTTCTTCCTGGGCCAGTTCCTAAAATGAGGCAACTGGTTGATCTCTGACATTCTTCCTGCTCTGACGTCCTGATGCTCAGTCCCTACCAAGAGGGGTCTGTCTAGGAAGAGCTCCCACACATCAAACTCTTACACTGGCAAGCCCTGTGCAAGGCAATGGGGTTAAAATCACAAGAGGGGCCCCACGTCTATCTGTCCAGATAAGACTGGGATCAGGGAATATAAAATAGGAAAAGCGGTACTTTCTTAGAGAATTCTCTTATTAGATACTTAACAAAATACATATCATTCCCCCCACATCTCTCTGTGATGAGGAAGCTACAGACCGTGGTAACAAGGGGCAAGGACCAGCACGCCACACAGGATGGATCACTTCTCCTGGAAGGCATCCCTTGGTAGTACCTGAGGCCCTGCTTACCTCCTCAGGAAGAGGGGGGCAGGGCATGGGGTGGGCTGGGCTGTGACTGCTGGGGACAGTTTCAGGTGAGGAGAGGGACTCCTGCTGACACTGGAACTAGGCACGTAAGGACAGTGCTTGGTGAGTGCCCCCGCAGGGAGGGACCACACAGAGGGACCTTGAACACGAGGAGTTGCTGACAAAGACTTTCTGGGGTCATGGACTCCAAGGGTTCTCAGATCATGCCTCCAAGAACACTAGGGTTCTGAGCATTTGGATTACATGCAAGCAAAAAAAGGAAGGAAGGAAGGGAGGAAGGGAGGAAGGGAGGAAGGGAGGGAGGAAGGAAGGGAGGAAGGAAGGGAGGGAGGAAGGAAGGGAGGAAGGAAGGGAGGGGGGAAAAATAGATTTCCAGCCTTCTCACCCAAGTAAAAGAAATACACTACATTCATGAGTATTCTTTCCCTTTCCAAATTTCTAATTTGGTGATTGACTGCCTGTTCTTGCTTCTCTCCAGGAATCGAGGTCACGGACAGAAGCTGGTTCAAGCACAAATATAGGTAACTGTTTTACATTTAATCAACATTGCAAAGTGTTCACACTACATACAACTTCATAACACCAAGGTGTGTGGGCACCGTTAAAAAGAAGAGGCCCCTTCGACCTCTGTCCCCCTACACATGGGCCACCCAAGGGTGTCCGCAGTGCTCGCCAGCTCGGCCTCCCGCTAGGTTGTGAGCCGTGGCTCGTGGCCCAGCGGGCTCCTTGGTCCTGCACGCAGATCTGGGCTCCTCCCAGGCCTTCTCTCGAACTGTACCAGAGCCTGCCTGCGCAGCAGGGGCTTTTATAGGCACGGTCAAGTGCAGACATGCACCAAGTGCGACGGCTGGTCCCGGGGCTCTAAGGCCTGGCCCTGTCTCAAGTGAGTGGGCCCCATTCCCTTGCAGCCAGAGGTGCACGGAACTGAGGGAACAGAGTGAGAAGCAGGCACGGGAGGCCACGGCAGAGAGAGGCCAAACGCCATCAGCGGACGGAGCCACCCGGACGGCAGCTGGGGGAAGCCGCACAAACCTGCCTCCTCTCCAGTCCCAATCTGCCGGGGTGGGGTGGGGCCGAGGGGGCTGCAGGCAAGCCCCGCAGGCCCCGGGGAGGGCTCATCCTCTGCCCCTTGCTCCCTGCCGGACTGGGAAGTGGCAGAACAGAACACGCAGGGCCGGGAAACAAAGGTGAACGAAGGCCAGCAGCACTTGGACTCCGGGGGCAGGAGGAGACAGGAGCTGCAGGACCTGGGCCCAGAGGCCAAGAGAAGGACAAGAGAAGACAGAGTCAAAGGCAAAGGGAAGGACATGGCAGAGGCGTGGGGTGGGGTGGAGGGCGGGCAGGAGCAGAGCTGCGGGGTGAGGCTGCACGGGGAGCTTGGGGGTCACTGCGGGGCCCCCCCCGAGCTGAGGCCTTGTGTCTGAGCCAGGGCAGATTACGAATAGAGCGAGCGGCCTGGGGTCAGAACACTGGGGTTTGGAACCTGCCCAGTCACTGTGCTTCCTCAAAGCTCATTTTTGTAACCTAGGAAATGAAATCATTCCTAGCTCAGTCGATGTGATGATCGGGCAGCAGTGCCCTAAACCGCGAGGCACTGTACAGATGTGCGTCCCTACTACGAAGGGGGCTCCCCTCAAAATTACTAGCCCCCCAGGTGCTAAAGGGGAGAGCCTGGACGCCCAGACCCGGAGACCCTCAGAGGGCAGGGCCGTTGGGGGTGGGAGTCAGCACTGCCTTCAGTGGGGGGAGGGTGTTCCTTCTTTCTGCCCCGGTCACTCTGGACTGACAGGTGCTGGCCCCGAAGGTACTCACCTGGTCACTCATCTTCTAGGTCCGGCAGCTGCTCAAGGAGCATGTCCTCCTTGCCACTGAACTGCACGAGAGAAGGGGGTGAGAGGCCGGGCCGGGCAACTCTTCCTTCTGTCCTTCTATCCCCACCCCGGGCCTTCCAGGAGCTTCCAGGAAGCTGCCTGGGGGCGGGGGATTCTAGGAGCCCCTCCTCCCACCAGCCTTCACCCCCTGGCTGCCCAGCAGAGAGGCCCCCCCTGGACTGAGGGGGCTTCTGTTAGACCTCACAGAGTGGCCCAGGCAGTCACTTCTGACCTCTCTCTAACCCAGTCCTTTAAGAACCTGCAGTGTAAACTCCTTCCCTTGTTTAGCTTTTGGTGCAGAGATGGGGGAACGGATACAGCTCTGAGGCCAGACGTGGGGGGCGGAGGGGCAGGGCCACCCCAGATGACCCGACGGCCCCTGGGAGAAGGACACACTTGCCTCGATGTGGTACACTATGCGCCAGAAACTCGAGTCTGAGCCTCGGTATCTTCTTCCAGGGTAGAGCTGCCACATGGAAGGCAGCGGGCATGGGGCTAGTAGGCTGGGGCACACAGCCTCCCCCAGGGACACATCCTCCTGACGCATGAGTACCTGGAGGCTACTCTCCGTCTGAAGGGAAGGGAAGACCAGGGCACGCCTTCAGGGCCCGGGCTCCCCAGCACGCAAATCCCCAGAGTCCTTCCCACCCCGCTGGCAGCCCGGCCGGCATCTGAGATGCTGGTGATCACTGTTCCCAGCAACGTCCCCCCTTATGCCATGCACGCCCCTCTCAGGGACGCTGGCGAGGCCAGGATGACTGGCACTCACAGGTGTCTAGACACCCAGACAGGGCCACACGGAGCCCGCTGCTTCCTGACAGACTTAAAGCTTGTCCCTGAGCTTCCTTAACTGCAGTGTGGTGCTGATGTCAGCTCCATGGGGTTTTATTCTATTTTATTTATTATTTATTTAACTTTTTTTTTTTAAAGTAATCTCTATACCTAACATGGGGCTTAAAGCCACAACCCCAAGATCAAGAGTCGCACGCTCCACCGATGGAGCCAGCCAGGCGCCCCCGTAAAGCCCCACTGAAACAGGTGAGAGAACACTTTTCCCCACCTCCACCACCACCCCTCTCCTGCAATAAGCTAACTTGCCACCTTATGGTCATATGCCTCCCAATCAGCTCCCCGCACAGCAGCCGGGGTGTGCGTCTAAAACTCTCCAGTGGCTTTTCACGGCAGGTAGAAGGAACTGCAATCTTAACCACGGTCCACAGACCCACTAATGTGGGCCCCTGCCTCCCTCATCTCCCATTCTGTCCTTCACCCTCCACCCTGTGCCGGCCACAAGGGCCTCCTCGATATTTCGGGGACATGTCACATTCCCAGTAATCTCTTGCATTTGTGGTCCTCTGCCTGGAACATTCTCCCTTAGATCTACACAGGGCTCACGCCCTTCTTCGAGACAGGTCTCTGCACAAATATAGGTCTATAGGGACACATTTCAGCAAAATCCAACTCTCTGAAATACACACAAAGCACGCATGTCTACAAGGGAGCTTCACAAAGGTCTGCATGACAGGCAAGTGCAAGTTAATACTCTTGAGGGGTCTTGCCTGTAGACCTTGCCCCCCTCGTTACTGCCTCTCATCCTGCACAGCAGCCTCAATTACTTTGATGTCCTGCCCCTCCCCACCCTGCAGGGCCAGCTTCAGAGTAGCAGGATTTTATCAAATTCACTGCAAACCCTCACAGCCCAGAATTGTGCTTGGCATATAAACTAGGCCCTCATGTTGGTTCAATAACTACTTTCCAAAGCGGAAATCATTCTTTAAATTTTCCATCCAGGAAATAAACTGGAATCGTTAAGAAGTAATCCAGCTCATCCTGCAAGATGTAAGTGGAAATCACCATTCTCGCTGTGTTCGTATAGGTTTTCTATATCCTTCAACCACTTTTGGTCTGCTCGTTCCTTTTTCTTCTTATTAAGTCAACCTTTACATATGAAGAATACCAGTCCTTTCCGTTACATGGGGGTGAATCCCGCCCCACGGTCCGCTAGTGGGTTATGCTTTGAGCATAACTTACAATAATGATTATGTGAAATACACTGCTTTGTGGTTTTGGTGTCACGTGTAAGAAGATATTCGCCAACCAGAGTTTTTAAAAAAGATATTCACATAAACTCTCTTCAAATACCCGACTTAAAAGAAGTAAACATTTGATGTTTAAAAGTACATACATGTGTACTTAAAGAAGAAATTAAATGCCAGTAAACATGGGGGTTGAGAGCCTGGAATGTCAAGCCTATCACCTACTAGCAGGACTGCTCTGGGCAGGTTTACAGGTTGTGACTCAGTTTTCTCATCTGTAAAACGGGCACAGTCACTGCCGTATAACTTCTTGCTGTTTGCGGTTTGCTGTTCTATAACGTAACCGTCCTGCCAGGACATACTTCAGTTTTGCTCTTAGTCCGGCTCTTCCACCACGGCGTTCCTGGTGAAGTGCGCGCCCCCGAGGCGCCCCGACGGCCCCGAAGTCCCGGGCAGGGCCCCCCACGTGGCGGCCGCGGACGCCCTCGCCGCCCGCCCGGCCCGCCCCAAGGCCGCTGTACCTCGATGGTTATGGGCAGCCAGGTGCGCTGGTTCTCGTCCACGTACACGGACCTCTCCCAGATCCACAGGTGGTCTGGGTGCAAGGCTGTGTGCGCCCTGAAGAGCGGCAGCTCGCCCATGGCGCCCCGGGCGACCCAGCAGCGGCCGCCGGAGCCCGTCGAACCGACTCGCTGGTGCGCGGGCCGCGGGAGCCCGGCGCTTTATAGCGGGGCGCGCGCGGGCGCCCCCCAGCGGCGGGGCGGGAGGAGGGCGGGCGCGAGGCGGGGTCCGCTCTGGAGCTGGTCTTGCTCCGGGGGACCCTGGCCGCGTTTAGGAGAGCAGCGCCAGCCCCGTAGACTCGTGGCTTGTTCCAGCTCCAGCTCCCACTCCCCACGGCGGGGGAGGCACCCCTGTCTGTGGCCTTTGGCCTTTCCTCTGTCAGGAGGTGCCGGCGTCCTCCACTCCCTGGGACGCCCAGACCCCCCCTGTCCGAGGCAGCCACTGTGTGTGACTGGTCAAGTCACGCCCCAGACCGGGACACCAGGCCTCTGCTGGGAACTCACAGTCGATGCCCGGCAACCCAGAGCCAGGACCCCCTCGTCGTCTCCCGGGATCAGAAGAGAACCCTGCGAGCCTGAGCCAAGCCCGGACTTGCCCAGGTTCACGGCATCACCTTCAGCTTGTGCGTGGGGTGTGAGAATCCATTTCCTTGGCCAATGCAACTCTTAAAGCCCCAGTCCCCCCCCCCCCACACACACATTTCCCACGGCTTTGATGATGGTGTGGTCATCTAATGGCTATTGTGAAACACGGTGGTGAAGAAACATGGGTTTTTCCTTTTACGGGCTTTGAATTCATTGAACACATCGTTCAAAATGAATGCTTGAAAAGAATCCCTTCTCTCCACTCCAAGATCAATGGAATTGAAAAGTCCCTGGCTTATATGATCAAACCCACTCTCTGTAAATTACAGCAAATAAGGAAAACAATTCCACTTCATTTTGCAGTACACCACATGCCCATTAAGGCAATTAAGAAAATAAAGTACAATGAGAAACATGTAAGCTGAGCTCCGGCCTCGTTGCTCAAACGTCACCATTGGCAGCAGTTTGGTGCTTCATCTTCTAGCTCTTTCCTGTCTCTCTGACCAGGCGCTAAGAAAATAACTTTGGGATCTTTTGCAATATCACAAAAGTGAGAATGAGCTTAACCCGGATCCCCTGATAGCAAAGGTATGTATTTGCTTCTCTGCGGATCCAGACAACCTAATTCCCAAGAAAGTACTGAGGTGGCCTACGATAATAGAGATGTAATTGGATTTACCCGGAACACAAAATAGAAGACAAAAGCCAAAGCCGAGTGGGGTGTGGAGGAGGCAGACATGAGCCCAGCAAACCTCCTTGCCAGGGCAGCCCCTGGTGGTGCTAGTATTTAATATTCAGACTTACGGCATTCAGGCTGATTTCCCTGTGGATGGTTCTTAATTCCAGACCCAGATAGCCACTGGGAGCAAGATAATATGCTAATATGTCTGCTGGGGAAGTCTCAGCCCAGTCCTGAGCCTTGAGGTAAAAAATGATGACAAATCCAGCTTAAACAGTGTGGCAAGGGAAGGGGGCACCTACAAGCCAGGGTGGCCACTGCCCAGCCGTGTCGATGGCTCCAGGACCCAGAATGCCACTGAAATGCCAATTTCGTTACTACTCCTTCTGCTTTTCGAAGAGGTCCCAAAAAGAATAAATAATGGAGGGCGCCTGGGTGGCTCAGTTGGTTGGGCGACTGCCTTCGGCTCAGGTCATGATCCTGGAGTCCCGGGATCGAGTCCCGCATCGGGCTCCCTGCTCAGCAGGGAGTCTGCTTCTCCCTCTGACCCTCCTCCCTCTCATGCTCTCTGTCTCTCATTCTCGCTCTCTCAAATAAATAAATAAAATCTTAAAAAAAAAAAAGAATAAATAATGGAGCAAGATTCAGTCTCCCTCGGCTGGATATGCTTCTGAATGTTTTGGGAATATATATGATCCTTACACCCCCGACCCCCTTTCAAAGAACAATATATGCCTTCCGCATCACATGAAGGCTTCTTAATATTGAGCAAGAGTGTACGTCATTCTTGTTAGGATTTAGAAAATCATTTGAGAAGGGGTTCCAAAGCATGAAAGTGGCATAAGATGACTGAGGAGTTCATAGGGCAGCTTCTGGGGGGCCCTTGAGCCTTCTTTATGGAAGTCCCATGAGAAAGGAATAGCTCCTGTGTGGTCTCAGGGACAGGCAAGCCTCTTCAGCATGTTACCTGCCCCATCTTAGGGCTCGAAGGTCAGCGGGCTTAGCTTTAGAGTCGTATACAACCTTCTGACTCCTTTATTTGTCTACAAGCTCCCTGAGGATAATCAAGTGTTTCATTTACAAAGTAACACAAAGCAATTATTTTGCGGTTTTTTTTTTGTTTGTTTGTTTTTTAAATATAGAATCCTTCACTGATGCTTTCATGTTCTGGCTTTGGATCCAGTTTCAACTCTGCCTCTATCACCCATGAGTTTGGCAAGTCCTTTGCCATCTTGGCCTCATCGCCACACTTGTGTAATGAAGGGGTCCTGCTAGCTGCCCTCAAAGCCTATTCTAACTCAACAGTCCGTGATCCTCTGAAAAAGCTGTCTAGTAGGAGGTTAAGAATGGTTTTGGGCAGAGTGGTTCTGGATATGAAAGACCACAGTGGAATTTGTTTTTCAGGAGTGAGGAGGCCATCTTCTTGGTTGCACCCCAAGGAAGAGCCTTGGGGGTGAGTCACGACCATCAGTAGGGTCTAGAACCTTGCTATGTAAGTGTAGTCCCCAGTTCAGCTATATCTCAAGCCTTCCCCAGATCAACTGGGTCAGAATCTGCATTTTAGCAAGATCCCCAGAGGACTGGTGGGCACGTTAAGCCTTGGTCTACGGGGGGAAACAAGAGGGAGAGATGGTGGGTGTCTCATTCTACCATTTCCCTCTAGATTTCTCTGTGACACAAACCTTGGATATATGACTCTGTATCATTTAGTTGTAGGCTCTCATATTTTCTGTCAAAATCACTTCTAATATAGAAAGTGTTTTCCTCTTAAAATCCTGGTCATCAGTGTCCTCCCAACCATCGGGCAATGACCAGCAAGCTATAAAGAAACTACTTAGAGCTACATAGGTCTCCAGGCCTCTGGGCCTTATAATGAACGGCCGGAAATCACTAAGCTAGTGGATTGCAACCCTCGCTGCTTATTAGAATCACACATACCTGTGTCTGGACCTCACCCCAGACCATTTAGACGAGAATCTCTGAGACTGAGGCTTTGGTGTTCTTTCTTCCCCACCAAAGGATTTTTCAGGTGATTCTAATGTGCACTGAGGATTGAGAACCGCTTCTCTGAGATTTGAGTGACTGTTTATGAGGTGTGAACAAGATTTATAGAACTAAATAACCATGAAAATGTTAAAGGTATTCTTTCTACCATCAATTCTCATTGTAAACCTCCCCCAAGCATGCACCTGACTGCTTTCCCTCTGCCCTGATATGTAGGTGTTAAAACATCCATGCTAGTCACCTAGAAAGGAATTTGTTCCGACAGCTGGGCCATATTTTAGATAATTAAGCCTGATGATCAAGTGAGCCCAGGAGTAAAGGCATGTTATGGCCTTTCTCCCAGGGGATGAAATTTTATCTGTAGATTAATGGAGAGTGTGGGAAGGATATTCCAAGTGGAATTCGGGGACTGATCATAGCCTTACCCACTGCATGGCTGGCTACTAGCTCTCTCTTCACACTTAACAGAATTTTCTTTATGTTTTAAACATTTTTCAAACTTCAAGGTGTGTATGAGGATCTCGTTAAAATGATTCTAATTCAGTAGGATTGGGTTGAGACTCGGCATTTCTAACAAGGTCCAAGGTGAGCCTGAGGCTGAAGGTCTGTTGAACCACCTCTGGGTAGCAAAGGCCCCTACTAACCCAATACACACACCACACAAATGCAAAAGACACCCATAGCCCTAACTCAAAATGCACCGAATAGTTGACCCTGACAAGCTGGGGGAGTGAGCAGCGTGTAGGAGAATTGCAATGACACTGAACTAGAAATGAGGCATCCATTTGCCCTGATGAGTTAAAGTTTACCTAAGTTGTATCAGAAATATTTCTCAACCCTGGGATTTATTCCATACATTGGGTATTATGCTCACAGTGTGGCTGGTCCTACATATTGGCTTGTTTCTGGTTCTTCCACTTCAATTATTCTTCAGTTTAATTTGATTGCATTAGTTTGGCCTCAGAAAAATATTTCACATATCTCTTTATTCCTTCTAGAAAACCGGCTCATAATCTTCATGCTTCTAATATATATAAGCTGAGATAAATGATTAACTAGGTACTGCTTTCAGCTTCGACACTGAAAATTTCCTCTATACCATTTATCTGATAACTCTTGACCTAGATTTTCAATTTTAGGATATTTTATTTTTTTTCCAAGGAAGTATTCTTATACCCTTCAGATGAATACCCGCAAGTAGGATTTCTGGATCATATGCTAGTTGTATTTCCAATATTTATTTTTTTAATTATTAATAAATTTCTTTATTTTTTAGATTTATATATATATGTATTTTTAATTTCTGTATAATTAACATACAATGTTATATTGGGTTTCAGATGTACAATATAGTGATTCAATAATTGCATACATTACTCAGGGCTCATCGCAATAAGTGGACTCTTCATCTCCTTCACCTGTTTCACCCATCCCCTTGCCCACCCCCTCCTCTAGTAATCATCAGTTTGTTCTCTATAGTTAAGAGTCTACCTTTTTGGGCGCCTGGGTGGCTCAGTTGGTTAAGCGACTGCCTTCGGCTCAGGTCATGATCCTGGAGTCCCGGGATCGAGTCCCGCATCGGGCTCCCTGCTCTGCAGGGAGTCTGCTTCTCCCTCTGACCCTCCCCCCTCTCATGTGCTCTCTCTCTCTCATTCTCTGTCTCAAATAAATAAATAAAATCTTTAAAAAAAAAAAAAAAAAAAAAAAGAGTCTACCCTTTTGTCTCTTTCTTTGTTTTGTTCCTTAAATTCCACATATAAATGTAATCACATGGCATTTGTCTTTAACTGCATATTTCACTTAGCATTGTACC